CGGTCCTTGTGCTTTGTTATGCTTGTTCTAAGTAGGTGCTTTAGACCACTGAGCCATCTCACCAGCCCCAATCTAACTTTTTTTTTTTTTTTTTTGTGGAACTGGGGATTGAACTCAGGCCCTTGCGCTTGCCAGGGAAGCGCTTATTCCACTGAGCCATCTCCCTGGCCCCCCAATCTAACTTTTAAAGTTCTGTTTCACTATGCTGACCTACAGTATGTGGTAGAGAAATGGGGTCTGGGTTTAGGACATCACAGGGGTGGGGGGTGGGCTCCCCTTTCCCAAGGCACACTTTGAGGTTTGGCAACAGATTAGGGGTCATAGGGGAGGCAGAGTCCAAGGAGCAAGTGAGAGTACAGGAGAAACTGGCTCTTTCTGGGGCTGGATATGGGTGAGCTCAGGGGATCCCAGGCTGGGCCCTGTTCTCCGGCTGACCTAGGTAGAGGGTGATTCCCCTGAGGAGACCATGGCCTGGGCTCGGTTCTGGTTCTGGGGCTAGCCATCTGTTGTGCCTCCAGTTGCCCTATGAGTGTGTACTGGTGATTGCTGCTCACTCCTGAGGATGCAGTTTCACACTGACTGTGGTCACCTTGTCCACTGCACCTTCCCAAACAGCATCCAGGGAAGGTGCAATGCTTTTGTTTCCCCATGGCTTCCCTCTCAGGTTTCTGGCTCCCACCTGCAGTTTTGGCTGTCCTCTTCCTTCTCCTGCAGGCTGCGCCAACCTGCTTGCTCGCTGGCTCACTGGCTCGCTTTCTTTTTCTTTTTTGGTCTTTTTGAGACAGTGTCTCACTATGCAGTTCAGGCTGACCTTGAGCTCACTTTGTAGCCCAGGCTGATCTGCAGCTTGCAACAATCCTCCTGCCTCAGCCTCCTCAGTGTTGTGATTACAGGCGTGCACCACCACACCTGTAAAAGCTTGCACCAGCCTTTCTGCTTGTTGATTCACCTGCCATTTATTGAGCACCTGCGGTATCTCACACACTGCCAAGACCTATGATTTTCAGATGAGAAAACTGAGGGTTGCCCAGGGTTGTAGGTGGTAGGCAGCACCCTGGGCTTTCCCATTTTGGCTTTTCCTGCACCCATGTTTTGACCACTCTGGAGGGTGCCCAGTCATTCCACAGTAGGAACCTATGTCAACAGAACTCTTTTCTGTGCCCATCTAGCCTTGCCCACACAGCTGCAGATAGCCACTCCCACCCTCCACACAAGTCTCCATAGGCAGCTAGAGTGGACTTCAACAGAGAGAGCCACACTCTCTGTGGCTCCCCTGGTCCTCCTTGACCCTCAAGACTTGCCCCACCCAAGACTTGCTCCTGCTGGCTTGTTTCACTGCTTGCAGTGTCCATAAGGGCCACTGTTCTGTGACCTGACTTGACTCAGTTGCACCATTAGTGTTGATCCTCAGTACTTCCCACTTTGTTCCATAAGCCAGTTTGGGCGTCTCCTGGTGCTGCTGAGTGACTCATGCTGTGACCCTGGGCAGTCAGGCTGTCGTGGGCTGTAGTTCCCCCCATACTGAGGGGCCAGCAGAAGGGAGAGTCCTCAGGGCCTGTCTGGGAACAAGAGCCCACTGTGTGCCTGGGGAAGGCTGCACATTAAGGCACTGTGGGCCGGCAGTGTCTGCTGCTGCTTGGCTCGGACTTCATCCGGCCTGGGCTTGCTCCTCCCCCACGCTTTGTGAATCCCACTCACTTGAGGCCCAGATGAGGAGCTGGGCACATGGCAAGACACAGCACCAAGGACAGGATGGGTGTCTTCTTGCCTTTCAGACCTAGAGCAAGTGAGTTCTCTTGTACGCTACTGCTTCTACCCCAGGAGACTGGATAATCAGGCAGGGTTGGGGCCTCTGCTTGGAGTAGCTTTGCTTTGTCCTGGGCCAGCTGTAGGCCGGCTGGGTTGGCCTGTGTTGCTTGCACAGCAGCCCTGCCCTTCGCATCGTGTGTTGTTTCCAGTCCTGCTTCCTGTACCAGCCAGTTTGTCCTTCAGGACCCAACTGAGGGGTCCTCTCATTCAGGAGTCTCTCACACCCAGATCCTGGTGACAGACTCTGTTAGCTTGAGCTTACAGGGCCCAGTGTTTATCCAGAAGTGGTTATGGAGCCAGTCTCTTTTGGGCCCTCTGGGTCAGCAGTGGTAGCACAAAGGACCACATGTGTGTGAATGGATTTCTCATGTAGCCTTTGCTTTGTCAGATGGAATGGAGCATGCAGGCCAGGGAATGTCTGGTGGGGGTGGGGTAGCAGAGGGGACAGGCCCCCCTTCCACACTGAGGTTGGAGGGCCTGGAACACACTCAAGGTTGGGCAGAATGTATGCATGCACAGGGGCCTTGAGTTGAGAAGGAGCCAGAATTTAGGACAGGCTTTGGGGGAAATGGGTGGGTGGGCTACTGTGGAGCATCATGGGTGTGTGTAACTCACTTGGCAAAGTTATTGACAAGCTTAGTGGTGCATGCCTGTAATCCCAGCACTTGGAAGGTTGAGAGCAAGGATAGCTGAGAGTTTGAGACCAGTTTGGTGAGCTCAAGGCTAGCTTCACCTGCATGGCAAAACCCTGTCTAAAAAAAAAAAAGGGGGGCTGGTGAGATGGCTCAGTGGTCTAAAGCACCTACTTAGAACAAGCTAAGCTAAGCAAAACACAGGGACCGCGGTTCAATCCCCAGCACCACATGCCAGCCCGCCCCGCCCCCTGGTGGGCTGAGCTGCCCCCCCCCACTAAATAAATAAATATTTAAAAAAAAAAAAAAAGTCACTCACCCTCCTCATCCCTAGCCCCACCCCCATCTCCACTCTTAGCTGCGTTCCTCTCTGGGCCCCATACACAGCCTCACTAGCAACACTGAATTTTCCTGGAGGCCTGTGTGTGGCTGTTGGGTGGCAGAGTATGTGTGGCCCCTCAGAATGCACAGAAGGCAGCCTGGCTTTCCCTGCCTGAAACATTAGGGTGTCTCTGTCTTGGCTTGTGCCTCACTCCTTGCCTCCTAGACCTCCTGGGACTCAACACAGCTTTGAGGAGCGGACTACTTAGGTCCCTACCTGCAAGTTTAGCCTGCCTGGCTGAAAAGACACGATCACAGCTCTGCAGATTGAGTGCTTCCCACCCCAAGCCTGTCCTGCCTTCCCAGCACACCTGATACTGTCTCAGATTCTGCCATTAGTGTCTAAGACTCAGAGATAGTCCTTAAGCCATTCTTTTACTAGCATGGTAGCCTTACTACAACCCATATGATCCATGAAAACAGGGCTAGGGAAAGATGAAGAAGATGGCTCACAAGGATGGTGACCTGGGACTAGGTGACACATGCCCCCCATGTCTGGGCTGGGCATTTGGTATGTATCAGGTAGGCTGGACTAGTTCATCCTGGAGAAACCTTGCCTCGTCTGCTTCCCAGTAGGATGTGTTCATGTTAGCCACTGTCATTCTTCCCCTAATACTGGGGCTTGGAATGGGCAGAGGATCCTGCAATGTGGATACGTAAGCTGCCCTTATCGCATGAGGCCAGATGAGGGCAAGTGAAAGGACCTCAGCCTTTTGAAAGACTCCTGAGCAGCAGGTGTGGGTATTTCCAAGCTTTGTCCTCCCAGCTGCCACCTGGGACCCAGAACCTGATGGGAGAAAGAGTTGGAATGTGAGGGTGAGAGCCAAGAGTCGGCATCTCCAAAGGACTCCCTCCTACCTTCTCTTCTGTTCTTGGTTAATGGCTAGTGTAAGGCAGCAGTTGCTGTGAGCATTGTTCTAGGATTGCCCCTTATTGATATAAAACCATTAGGAGCTGTGGTCATCAGTAACAAAGACCTTTTCTTGGTTAGTACAAGGCCCATAGGAGCCATATGCACTATTTTAGGTGTTCCCTGGTCACTGTAGAAGCTCCGAGGAGGATCTTGGGCTTGTCCCTGGGTATACCGCTCTGAATATGTGACCTTGAGCAAGGCAAGCCTCTGTTTTCTAGGCTTCAGTCTCCCTGTTTTTCTAGTGTGGGTGGGATGTCTCTGTCTCCTTCAAGCAGCTGAGAGGGAAATCCCTCTAAGTGAAACCATTTCCTTTCTTTGGAGAGTGGGGATAGGAATCAAACTCAGGACCTCACACTTGCCAGGCAGCCACTGTGCTACTGAGCTAAACCTCCAGCTCCAGTGAGGCCATTTCTGAGGGCACAGGGTGGGAGTAGGGAGCTGTCTTCACACGCTGGTGCTCAGACTCTGCTGGAGCTATACTTTTTTGTTTTTGTTTTTTTTTTGTGGAACCGGGGATTGAACTCAGGCCCTTGCGCTTGCCAGGGAAGCGCTTATTCCACTGAGCCATCTCCCCGGCCCTGGAGCTATACTTTTTGAAGTGGTTGAGGAATTTTGGATTTTCCGCCCTCCATGTTTTATTTATTTATTTATTTATTTATTTATTTATTTATTTATTTTGTGTGTGGCCAGTTCAGCCCACCAGGGGGCGGGGCTGGCTGGCATGTGGTGCTGGGGGATTGAACCGCGGTCCCTG